AACTCAGCCACAGCAGCTTCCAGTAATGCTCATAAAGCTCCTTTCCGCTTGAGAGATGGTGGCTTCCAGGGGCCATCACAGCTAACTCTCCAGTCTGGCTTTCCTTAAAGCACGCCGGTGGATGCCTGAAATCAATGAGGGAGCAGAGGCTGCCTAAGATCCCTCATGGGAGACACCAAACATTTCCTAACAGAACCCAGGAGGCACTTCTACAACTCTGAGTAGTAGCAAGCAAACCTCAGATGGTCTGGCCACCGTCCACATATTTGGAAAAGAAAGGGGAAGGATGGCTAATAAAGACTACCTGTCCTTGTCATTCCTCAGATCTGCCTCATCTAAACAGAGATTCCCAAAGACCCACTCTGAGCAGACTGCTCACATCACCTCAGTCCCACCAAGCCCAAGATTAGGCAGCGTCAGCTAAGAACAGTTGCGTCTTTCCCTTATATCTGCTCTAGACTTAATGATGTTTTGCATGTGCACTGCCCCATGGGGAAGCTGTGATGTTGCCTAAAAGACTTCTCTCTGGGGAGCTGCAGGAACAAAACTACAGAACATCAAAGCCCAATCTCGCCCAGAGCTGTGGTACAACAAGATGATGTGGCTTCATGCTATAAAAATGCCACCAGGGCCACACCAAGGTGGAGCAATAGAAGCTGAAGTCATGGTTGAGGCAGCTACCACAAACGGTTCTCTCGTTGTGCCAGATCTCATCACTGATCATCAGATCACAGCAGACTGCACAGGGTTTCTCCTGACCACATGGGTCCAGCTCCTCACTGCTGTCTTTGGCCCCGGTCAAAGACAATTTGGATCTTGGCACTAAGTGGCTAAACAGCACCACCTGGGGCACTTGATGGAGCATCTGGCAAACGCTGCTTGTTGGTTATTAAAGGTGTGACATACATCCTGCACTTTAGTGTTCGGCTGGGTTCCAGGGTTGCACAACAATCCCTGTTATCTGCCTGGAGTTTGGCACCTTGGCATGTCAGCCTGTGCCCCCTTCACCAAAGGCTGAAAGATGTGACAGTAAAGTTTCTCTGCGTTTCCCTACCCCGTTCATTCCAGGACCACACTGACCTTTTTTCCCCCACCTCAAGCTACTGGCAAGGCTACAGTGCTCCCTTGCTTGAGTTCACTTGCTTTTCAAGTGACTCTCTCTTTTTCTTCCTTTCCTCTTCATTTTGAGGCTCAGAGCTAATCACAAGGCTCTGATGAGGAAGGTAGCACCAGCACAGGGAAAGACGGAGCAGTGAGGAAAGTCAAAGACCCTGCTCATGCCAAGCATCCTCAATGGGCGGCTTCCAGCTCAGGGTACCCTGTGGCTGTAGCAGGGAGAGAAGGAAGCTCATTCACAGCTGACATGGAAATTGTGGAAATCAGCATAGAGCACATCCTTACACTGTCCAATTCTGGGCTGTCTTTGGGGCAGTCATTTTGAATGCTGAACTTGTCTCTGAATTCCCTGCCAAGTTTCAGTCATGGGGATGAATAGAGAGAGAAATACATACAGTGAAAGGAGAGCAAGGCAAGGGGAGGGGAGATATGTTATCTTCAGCATGTCAACTGGGGAGAGAAGTGCCCAAGCACAGGAAGGCAAGCAAAGCAATATGTGCTAGCATGAGGCTTCTCTTCAAAGCCAGCCAGAGACAACACTGGACAAGAATCTGAGGTGCTAAAGCAAGGGCAAAGAGCCCCTGTGGGGAAGGCAGAAGAAGAAGGCAATAAGGTGCATCAGAATTTTTTAGCACTTTCCTCCTCACAGAGCTCCAGCAAGCAGGAACATCAAGAAGCCTTTCAGCTCCAGAAAAGTCAGTTGAGGACTGAGAGCCAGCAGAGATTGAACATATGCCATTTCTATGTCCACTGCTTACCCTGGGCTGGGATCCTCTCTGCCTGCTAGGGCTGGTCCCTTGGTGGGACCCCACCACCTTTCCTGCTCATGCCCTCCACATCTGCCTTCCCTGGCACTGCTGCCCTCTCCCTGTATCAGTGTGGGCTTCCAATGAATGAACCTTGAATGCACTGTGTCCTCTGGCAGCGACAGAATTGTTCTCAGCTGTGCTGGAGGTGGCCTCCTCAGGCCAAGTATCTCTGTCACATTGGCATCTTGCCAGCCCAGGACTCAAGTGCAGCCCAGCCTAGGCTCCCCCAGACCTGGTCACCTCCCTGCAGACCCACAGCACCGCTGCAGCCTCAGTGCTAGCAGCAGGGCAGGGAGAGCTTTCTGGGAGGAAAAGGGGAAAAAAAAATGCAGAAGCTGGCAGAAAGAGATGAGCTGGTGTCATCTGCCGTGTCACCTCTTTGTGAAGGCTTGGCTTCCTTTACGTTCAGTTCCACAAACAGCAGCAAATAGTAAGCATTAATGTTAATACTGGTGCTTTGATTATCGTTACTAACAACATAGTTGATCTACTTGAGGACTGGAGGAAAGCCTCTTAGCAGATCCAGTACAGTCAAAGAGAGAATGAAATGCTCCCCTGCCCTGCACAGTGCACAAGGAGAGCTGTGCTCTCGCTGTTCCCCTGATTTTATTCAACCCGTGGTGCAAGGCTCCTCTCCACAACATGCCAAAGTGCCTCAGTCCCCGTGCACAGGGCCAAGCCCTTGTGGCAGCGCTGAGTTGGCCAGAGAGCTGAGCCAGCGGCCAGCGAGAGGAAATGAATCCCCAGGCCCCTCAGCCACAATGCCGTTAGAAGCTAACGGGGAAGTTTATTAAAAAATAATAGCGGCGATAAAAAGGAGGCAAGGAAGCCGCCTTGGAAGCCGTTCAACCACGAGGCCCCTTCAAATGCAAACACCCGCCAGCCTCCCCCGGCTGCACAGCACTACGGGCCGCAGCCATCGGCTCTGCTGAGGTCCAGCGCCAGATCACTTCTGATCAAAACCAGCCCCCACCAGCACTGCTGGGAATGAAACACATCCCCTCCCCGCCTTCTGCCAGCACTGGTTCCAGCCTGGCCAGCGATGAATGAAAGCATTTCACAGAAGCTGCCAGTGCCGCTTCCCAGCAGTTTTCCTCCCTGCAGCTGGGGATTCCCCAGCGCCTGCCTGAGGCTTGCCCAGTGCCCGCTCCCTGCAAGGCAGCAGTGGGACCCTCCCAGCCTTCCATCCATACTTTCTTTCACTTTGTTTACAAACAAAGCACAATCTGAGGCTCAGGGTGCAGCCTGGGGCTCCCCCAGATATCACAGGAATCTGATCTGACATTCCCCGAGGAACATGCACCTTGTGATGCTATCTCCTGTGCTCTCCTTTCCCCACGTCCCCTTCAGCAACACCACTGGAAAGAGTGACACCTCCAACACCCCTCTAGCCCACCTTCCAGCTGAGGAGCCAGAGTGTGACCAAGACACACGAGGGCCTCCCACAGGAGCAAAGTACAGTGCTCAGTTTTCATTACACTTACAGCACATCACCCTATAGCAAAGCTCTCCATGCAGGAGAGAGTTCAGCACGTCCCAGTGTAGCGGCAGTACATTCAGCTGTGGCTTCTGGGGCTCAGAATGTCTCAGAGCAGAGCCATGGCTGCAGCTGGGCCACCATCAGTGTACTGGGTTTGGCTGGGACCTGCTTGACAAGATGACACTGGAGACTGTCCTGCAACTCGTTAAAGCACACTGTCTCTCACACTGAGCCCAACATGCTCAGGCCAGATCAACCTTTGGGAGCTCTAGTGAGGTGCTCCAGGTGGAACCTCTGGAGGGGCTCATGAGCATGAATTGTTCCCACAATGATCAGACCCCCACACATCTCACTGTGAGCACAGCCAATGCGAGGGCAGAGCACACCAGCTCAAGTGCCCCATGCATGTAACCATCTTCATCTTGCTGGTCCAGGAGGAGAAGCTACACCAAAAACTACCAGCTAATGCTCACCCAGCAGATTTCCCCTCCCGCATGCAGCTCTCTCTGCCCTGAAGAAGGTGGGCCTGAAGCATAACCCTCACCTCTGAGTGCAAAATTCTTCCCTCAGGCAGGCGCGGGCTCTTTGGAAGATCACCATTAGACGCAGGTGAGACCAGATTAGCCCTCACCATCTGCCAGCTCTGGCCACCCGCATCCATTAGGAGCTTCCTCCCTCCCCAGAGGGCTTTCCAGACCCCCCTGAAAGCTTGCCAGGGATGCTGAGGCAGCACCAGAGGTGGCAAGAGCTCCATCCGACAGCCTATGACATACTAATCCTGGGATTAACTGGAGTTCAGAGGTTAATTACAAAGGTGTGGAGAGGGAGGGGGAGAGAAAAGGGGCACAGAAAGACCCAAAATAACTCTTCCATCTAATAAACAAGCCTGGACCCAAGCTGATGCATTTTTAGAAAGACATCATGAAGAAGGCGATGCTCTGGGAAGATACGTTCTCTCACCTGAGGCTGGAGGGATCACCCCAACTTGGTCACCCTGATTCCTGACCCATCTTTGGTTAGCCACCAAGCAGCTCCCAGAGCGCAGTTTGCAAAGCTGATACAGCCTTCCCACAGAAGTGTGAGAACTAAACCCATTGGAAACCGTGCGTGGCTCCAGCACAACCCAGGCCAAGCAGGAACATGAAGTGGGGGCACAAGGAGTAAATACCTCAGTGGGAGGGCAGCAGGATTTACGAATCTTCCCACCCAGACTGATTTCAGACACTCCTGCAGTGCAGAGAGGCACCATGCAGGGAGACCTGAATAGGCTCCCAGGCTGGAAGCTGCATAAACACTTCAACCTCAACTCATTATCAGAAAACATCACTAATTCACTCCAGCACCATCCTAAGTGTGGTTGTCTGGATTCCAGGCCACAAAGCAGCTATATCCACAGGACTCTACTCTGCATTAAGTAGCTGTATGCAAAGAGAGATGCCCGGGTGCTCCGCAGGGCAATTCCTGCACAACCCACTGAGACCTGCTGACCCCAGGAGGGATGATGAGGTCTCCCCTAAGCAGGAATTCCACAGGACATCAGAGGAGATGATGCCAGCACGCCACCAGCTTTCTGGCACGCCCTTCTCCTACCCCATCACCGCCATGTCCCCAAGGATTCCATCGGAGGTGTCACCAGTCAGGAACTGCGGCATACAAGTACACATCTGGAAGGAGTTAGATGACGAGAGCCTCTGCCAGCTGTCTTCATTTAGATTTGTTCATACTTGGAAGCGCTGTGCAGCGTGATCTGTAAAATAAAAAGTTACACTGATTGACATGAGCTGAGGGTTTCCTCCGAGACACTCCCTGCCCCCATCATCTCCGCCTGGGAAGCCAGCATTAACGCTTATTACATCCTGGACGCCGGCAGCGTACAGCAGAGGAGGCCATGCAAAAACAACGAGGGCGCAGCAGTTAACTATCGCTTCTCTTCCTGCTAGAGCGCAGCCAGCCCCAGCACGGGTAGGGCATCTGAGGGAATACTCCTCTGCCTAACACCAGGGCAGCCCTAGTGATACGCCAGGGGGACCCCACTGGGAAGCCAGGACCCGTCCCTGGGAGATCTACCCTCTGCTGGGTGCAGCAGCACAGGAGGTCCTGGGGGTTGCTGGGCTCCCAGTTCTTCCCCTAAGGGACAGAGAAGACACAAACCTTGTCACGACCACAGCTTAGGCGTCCCTTACCCTGAGTTTAACTTAAACATTTGCAATACCACTGAGCTCAGGAAGGGCTGCAGAGCTCACCAGGAAACAGATGGGAAACACCAGGAAACAGCTCAGAGAACCTCCTGTTTCTATTACTTACACACATTTCTCACCTGAAGCTATTTCTACAGCTTTGCCTCTGGGTATAGGAGAGATTTGACAAAGGCTGAAGCCAGACAAAAGAGTCTACCAAGAAAGCAGTGTCTAAGCTGTCACTGATTCTTAATGGGTTTGTCAACTCATTGGGATCAGCTGCTCCCAATCTGATAATCTCAGTCCCACACACAGAGCCAGGGACTGCTGGGAAAACAACTGATCCATTTCAGGATCCCTGGGGTTGAATCCTTCCCTTGAAAAATGAAGAAAGAATAGGACAGAAGCTATCAACCGCTGAGATGGAGCTCTACATCCCAAGCAAAAGGATGCTGCTTTGCCAAAAGGCAGGCGGGGTGATGGGGAGGAGTGATGATGGAAGTGTATGTACTGCATGACAGCACTGTACCTATGCAGAGCCTCCCTCTGCTTCTACAGGGCACGTGCGATCAGCTCAAAAGCAGAACAGAGTGCTTGCATCAGAGCCTGTGCTATAGCCTCATCTGTGTGACACACAATCTCCCAACAGGGCTGCCAACGCTGGGCCCCAGCCAAGAGCTTGCATTCTGAGGGACATGTCTTCAATTAAAGTCTTTTCTTCCCCATTTTGTTTAAAATTGGGGTTGAGCTGCTTCTAAACAGATGTGTTGGGGAAGCCAAAATATTTGCCTTTCTGCTGGCTGCTTGTTTGGCATCCACACGTGGCCATTGCCAAAGTACTTGGCCCTCCCACTCGCTTGGAGTGAGAGGCACCCTCCCTGTGCTCACTCAGATGGCCAAACGCATACAGTTCCATGTTTCTCCAATGTCTTACCTGCAGCCCAGGCAGCTGCCACGATTGTTGGGTGCTGCAGATAAGATACACCGCATGCAGGGAGCAGCAACCCAGGACATCTGTCCATGTGCTCACTACAGCGACCAGCCCTCAAAATGCAGCAAAACACCCCAGGGACTCCCCACCTGCTCAGGGACATTCTAGAAGAATGGCTGCTCTACCAGCCCCCTGCTGTGGTTACCACTGTGTGCTTCCTAAGCCCATAGCTATGTTAGCAGTGCTAGCAGCCAAGGTTGGAGATGGGGAAGATCAAGGTGACCACCAGTGAGAGAAGCAGGGGCTCAGTGCACCTCCGTGACTCATTCTGGCTCATCTTAGCACGTCTCAGAGACTATTTCCAGCTGCAGAGAAGTTTCTCTGCGTGCAAACTCCTGTGCCCTGCACAAGGAAATCCCACCACAGGAACCTGACCCCCATGACGCAGAGGACAGACAGCCGGAGGGGCCGTTTACGTGCAGTCTGTGATGAGGGCTTGCAGGCGCACCGCTTGCCGTGCGGGGCCGGACTGTGCAGCGTGCAGACACCCCGTGACTCAGAGCATCCTCACCAGCATGGCATCCAGCCCAGGCTGCAGCTGGGGAGCCTGTCTGCATCACGACGGGATGCAGGGGAAGCCCCTGCTGGTCTCACCCTCTCCTTTGGAGGCGCAAGGAATAGGATCACCACAACCCCCGTGCTCCGCCCCCCTCATTGGTGCAGACACAGATCCTTTTGGGCAGGCAGAAAGCCACAGCCACTTTTGGAGTCAGGAATGGGGCTGTCTCGCCAGACATCGCGTTTCAGCTCTTCAGCATGCTCTTGCCACCTGCAGAGTTAAACTCAAGCTCCTGCTCACATGAGTGCTCTCAGCAAGGCTCCCCGAGCCCGACACGCCAGCTTGACCCTGCAGCAAGCTAATAACCTGTGGAGAGGGCATTAAACCAACTTTTACGCTTGGGAGCCAGATTCAGCCCTACTCAGTCACGCACCTGAACACCCATCCATGATGCAGACAACCGTTGTTGCCAGGGCTTTCAGGCTATAAATGCTCCTGGCACATCCCCTGGCCAAGTCTGAGAGGCCACAGTGGGAGGCTCATGTTTTAGCCATTGCTTTTGCTAAGTAATAACCTGGTGGGAAGAAATACTGGCACTGGCTCATCCCAACCCCAACTGAACCATCCATGTCTCCTTACACCATTTCTTCCTCTCCCAGGCCCCTGTTCTCTCACTTGTCACTGCCTGGGTCTGAGTGTTCAGGAAGGACCAGGATCTCTTAAGGCCAAAACAATCCAGTAAGGTTAATCCCTAGGTCCCACCATCAGCTCTTTGATCCCGCTCAGGAGCTTGCTCTTCCTGGAGGCTTCTGTCCCACATATCTCCCAGCAGCCTACTGCTCAGCAACAGAACAGGAGGATCAGGAGCTGACCTGGAAACATGTCTTTTGCTGTAGTTTCACAGTCCTCACAGAACTCATGCGCTTCTAAGATTCACTTGGTCTCTGTAGGCTTCAGTGCTTCTGTCTGCTACTTCACTGAAGCATGACCCAGGCTTAGCTGCATTTGTTCTACAGCAGCAGACCTGAGCTGACAAGATGCCACAGTGCTCAGAAGTAAGAGAATTAGCTTCACTAACAGTTTAAATGTCAAATTCCCGTATGGGTCTGACTTGCAGTGTCCCCCAGATGGAGGCCTGCTCTGGACTTAACATTCAGGTTCTCATACATCTTGAAGCTTCTTGGAGCACCTTGCAGCCCAAACACTCAGCGTACTGGGACCTGCATTTCACAGCAGAGAAATACAAACAATGAAATGGGGCTCAGTGGTCAGGAAGAAGGTGCACAACCTGGGTGAAGAAGTCCCCATAACTCCCTACCCATTCCCTTCACCAAGGTCCTTCCTCCACTCCTTTGTCCATTCAAGGTCAAGGAAAGAGGACATCAGCACAGCAGCCGTAGTCACAGAATAAGATCCTAGTTACATCCTATAGGCCCCTCGCTACTCAATCCAAAAGAAACAAATTTCCACCACAGCTTACAAGAACATGGCTGGGATCCATTTATTAACCAGGTTGAGGTTCTTCCTCTCCAGTGCTCCCTGTCCGACACATCAGGAGATCAGAAACTCTCCCTTGCTGTCTGGCCCTCAAGCAAATCATGCGAGTGCAAAAGGAGTGAGATATAAAGGTGCAAAAAATCTGCTGATCCCACGGCCAACCCACCACTAACTCCTTCGAAGGGTGGGCCCTTGAAGAAAGGGCACATAGCACAGAATAGCCTCAGTTTCTTGCCTGAGCTTAGATCACTGTAGACTCTCTCTTGAAGGGCCAGCAAATACACAATCACATTGTGAATGTGATCCACTGTAGCACATCTGTGACCCACCTGCACACAAATGGCAGCACTGACAGCATTCTGAGCATCCCAAAGGAGAGGAATTACCAGCCCATGTGTGCTGCACAGGCTACCCCTCTGGCTCTGAACAAGGGCTCAGGGCTTCCCTCCTAGCCTTTCAGGTGGGATGTGGATGGTTCCCCAAAGGCAGGGCCCTTGAGAGGGTCCCTTCTCAGCAGGGCTTAGTGCCCATACAGATCCCACAGGAGTACAGGTGAGGAGGGGGGATGGTGGCAAGGCTTTGCCTGATCCCTGGTCACCACCAGCTCGCTCACAACCATGTCATGGTCCCCCAGACCATGACACTTCAAAGAGTGCTCCCCACTGAACACACAGTAGGATGAATTCCTTTCTTCTTAGTAGAAGTGTCTTTTTTTTTTTAACAAGAGTTACCCCGTTTCCTCAGTACCTGGGATTTATGACTTTGATTGCCCAATGCTTGTCTGATGAGCTTGAAAGGAGGAGGAGGGAGGTCAAGCCAGCCTCCCCAGAACTAATGAATATCATCTCAAAATAACCTCAAAGATGTCATGAAGGTCTTCCCCGAATCATTCTCTGCTCAGCTTGACGTAGTCATCCAGTAAACATGCCAACCATCAGCCCAGCAGTGTCACACACCGTATGTCCCAACTGGTTACTCACATATGCTACTCTTAGTTTTACTAGAGAGCATTTACATCTTCATCACAGCATCAGAGTGGGACTGTTTTTTCCAGTCTCTTCTGAGTCAGTGGTGAGCAAGTGGGATGTGTGGACAGTGTCTGGTGATGGTATGCCATGTATACGCAGATCCGGGAGAATAATTAGGTACATGGCCACACTGTAACCTCAGCCTTCCTCTGTGGTCCCACATTCAACCTGGAAGCCAGAGAGCCAGAGCAGAGCTCAGCCCCACTGAACCCAGGTGGAAGAGAGCTTTGGTTTGAATGCAGGGCTGGGGAGAGGAACTCCTATGTTCCCTGCAGCACTCACTGCCCCACGCCTTACAGTACAGGTGAATGATGGTGAGACGACAAGAGAGTGGAAGGATATCAAATTCCCAAAGCTCTGCACTGCAGAAACAACATTAATAAAAATCTCTACTTAGTTTGTATAAGACCCCTTGTCTTTCCTCTACCCTTCCATACCCTCAATCTTTATCTCTTTCTCCCTCTCTGATCCCTCCGACCTGTACTCCCAAGAAGAAGGTTACGATAACAGCGAGGCTGGATAATACCACTGCTCTGATGCCCAGAAAGCCTTTGG